CGCCCCCGCCCTGTGCTGTCCCTGAGTTTACAGCTGAGGCCTGAGCCACCAAGCAAGGGTCGCGTTTGGAAGTGGCTCCTGTGAGTGCCCTGGGACCAGGGCCAGCCCCCATGTCCTAACAGTCCTTGGCAGCAGTGGGGCAGGTCCACCTACGCAGCCTCTCCCACCCAGACCTGCCTTCAGCCTGGAGTCGGCCCATCCCTTAAACAAGTTCACTTCCCCACCCTCCCCAGGGTGCTGGGGTCCTCTGAGGCAGGATCTAGGAGGGTCTGGGGGATGCCCCCTTCTCTCTGACCCCTTACCTGTGAGGGCCACAGCCTCTCTGGCCACCCCTCCCTCAGATTCCAATTCAACATTATTCCAGGGTGGGACTGGAGTGAACACCCTCAACCCAGAGCCCCCCTTCCACTAGGTGCTCCCCCCACACACACACCCCCACCCCCCACCCCCCAGCCCAGAGTCCTCACAGCTGGGCTCAGTGCAGCACACAGAGACACTCGGGGTTCAGGGCTTGGCCACGGGGACACAGGATCAACTTAACAGGGACACAGCCAGGCAGACAGGCACGGGAAATCTGAGCCCCGAGCATGGCCATCAGCATGCGCCCTCTGCTGTTCTCCTCGGCCAGGCAAGGGACGCTGGGCAGACCTAACCGACTGCCCACATGGGTCCCCATCTTTAATGTTACACTGCCCACTACATGGCTAAGTAAGCAGAAGCCAGCCTGTGCTGACTCTACTGACTGGGTCCCCACTCCGCCAGGTGGGGACTGCTAGCACACCCGTGGGGAGATGAGGAAACAGGCACAGAGAGGCCCACAACCATGACCCCTGCCCCTGCCCATCAAGTCCCCATGCACTCTGCCTTCTCGTCCTCCCCAGCTGCACTGCTGCGTTAGGAGCAAGGCGCAGGGATGCTTGCCAGGCGAGCTGCAGCAGAGGCTTGAGAAGTTATGCAGGTTAGGGTCAGGTGGGCACCTGGGCATGGGGGGAGTGGCAGAGAGGGTAGAGGTAGCCTAGCCCCTTGGGGACTGGCCCCACCCTGGGTCCCTGGTTTGGACAGGGAACGGCACTCCTCAAGGTCGTCCGGCTGGACACACCTGGCCCCTGGTGACGAGGACCAGATGTGTGCCGCAGAGCAGGAGCCAAGCTGGAGGCAGCCCCCTGAGCAAAAGGACAGTGTGTCCTTTTGCGGCCGTGGTTGGGAACCTGTGGCAATGAACGTGTCCTTCACTCGTGGTTTAAATGCTGAGAGAGGCAGCTCGCGTGGTTCTTTCTTCCTGCCCCCCCCACCAGGTGGCCTCTCCTAAGGCCTGGGGAGAATCTCCTAGACTGCCCCGGGGGCGATCCTCCCTGCCCACTCATCCACCACCCTTGCCCTGGCTCCCCCCAGCCCCAGGAAGAGGTCTGCACAATTGTGAGGGGGTGAGGGTGAGTGTGCGAGAGTCTGAGTGTGTGCGTGTTTATGAGAGTGAGTGTGTGAATGAGTGAGTGA